AAGAGCCGGCCTCAGGGCCCCCTCCTGCCCTCCCAATGTGTCCCTGCAGGGCCAACGTGCTCAGCACTGCACTCAGCAGCCCCCTGCCAGCTGGCCCAGAGTAGATGCCACACTCTGTAGTCCTCCACTGGGTCAAGCACACAGCCTCCAGGCCCTGCTAGCAAGATACCCCTAGAGGCAGCAGACACCCCTCCCCAGGGCCAGGTGCCAAAGGCCTGCTCCCACAGCAAGGAGCCAGACACCAGGTGATATGCAGGGGTGTGCACAGCCTGCAGCCGCCTCCAACAGGTAGCAGCTCACATAGGCAGGAGACAGGCAGGCCTTCCCCAGCTCCCCAATGGGCAAACGCCACCACCCACTGAAGACCTCCAGTCTTCCACTCCAGCTGTCTCTGTGGGGCAGGAGGCCAAGGGGAAAGCTAAACGCCCCCTCCCACCTGCCTCCAGAGCACAGTGGCCAGTGGGCTTCAGTGTCCTTGTCCTGGGGCTGCCCCCACAGATCGGCAGCTCCCTCTCCTCACTCAGCCCTCTGGGTCTTGTCTCATGTCTGGGGTCGGGGTGAAGACAAGTGAGGAAAACGTGGATTTTGCCATCCCCTCACCTCATGGCTGGAGGAAAGGGTGGATGAAGTCTTTGAGGAGGGAAGTTTAAAAGAATCCCTGAAGACAACCCCTGGGAGCTCTCCCTCTGTCTGCGTGAGTGGAGCTTGGCGTCTGTGCCTCCTGTCGCTCCAAACGGGCTTGCTTAACAGACACAGCTTTGCCGCCCTCTGCTGAGCAGACTCCACGCCCAGCCTGCCCAAACAAGTTCTCAATAGAAACCACGGAGGTCAGCCAGCCCAGAGGGGAACCTAAGGTCACAGCACTGCAGCTGTGCAGCCACGGGCACAGTCCCCAGGAGACGAGAGGCGGGCGCACAGCTCGAGGAGCCCTGCAGCAAGGTCCCTCTGGCCAGCCCTGTCCGCTCCCCAGCGCTCCTCCGGCCAAGGGCCAGTCAGCTGCCAGAGCCCAGCAGGCACGCCTCCATGCCACCCAGTGCGCCGGCCACACTCTGGCGACACTGATGCTCTTCCCTCCTGCCCTTCTGCCCCCACATCCCCGACCAGGTCTGTCCTCCTGGCCTGCCACCCCCCCACCCCCACTAAGGGCTTGCATCCAGGGCCAGCACTGCCCGACCCAGGCCACAGGACCGAGCACTGGCCCGACATCCAGGGGCTTTGCGAACTGGGTGGGCTTGTTTTCTGTAGCTTTCCAGCACGAAGAACACAGAACTAGAAACAGAATTGGCAGGGTGGCATCCTTAGCAGGGGAGGAACCTGGACCTGCCACAGGCCAAGGAGCAGACACAAAGGAGCTGTGCAGCACTTCCCATGTGTGATGCACCGCCCGTGGGCCCTGACCCTGAGGGCAAAGCTCTGCAGCCCCACAGAGCCCCTCAGGGAGCTCGGAGCCCCCGCCTAGAATCAGAAGATGGGTCCAAGGGGCAGACCTGGCTCCTGGGCCGGCAGGGCTCCCAACGGCCCCACTCAGAAATGCAGGAGAGAGCCACCAGCTAAGAACCCACAGGGTCAAACAGGCCCCCGCTGGGTCCTGGTGGCATGCAGGCATGTCTGCATGGGGGGCAGCACAGGCCGCACATGGGGGAGACAAGCGCACACAGACACGTGGGGCCACACAGTGGACATTCATCCCCCGGGGAGGGACCCACAACCAGGTTGGGCAACACGGCAGCCAGAGAGGCAGGGAGCAGCTCTGTTTGTGAGGCAGCCCATGGCAAGGACATGTGGGGAGGGCATCTGAGCTGATCTGGGCAGACAGGCACCCTCGCCTTCGCAGCCCAGCAGGCAGCTGGGTCATCGAATGCCACTTTCCACATGACCTGCACCTGCCCCAGGCCACTGGCCCCAGCTTGAACCAGAGGGAGCCACAAGCCCACACCCCTGGGGGTCAGGGGCTGGACAGTCAGGAAGCAGAACTGACCAGCGCCAAGACAGAAGAGCTGCTGGAGATGAGGGAGGCGTGGAGAGGCAGGTGTGCCCACCTGCCCACAGGAACCAAGGGGCGTCTGGGCCCCAGGCCAGTGGAGACAGGGCCTCGCTCTTGGGGACACATGGCCGCCCCCTGCGCAGCACCACTGACACCACCTCACACCCCGACTGCCTTGACTCATCTTACCCCCCACAGGCAAGTCAGGGGCCAAGGAGCACCAGCCCTCCCTTCACAGAAGGGCAGCCCAGGCCCAGAGCAAGCCAGTACCCTGCCATCACTACCGTTCCCAGGTGGGCCTCATGGCTCTGAGCTGTGCAAAGGGAGGGGGAGGGGCCGCTTCACCCCCCACCCCCCCCACCCCGCATTGGATCCTTGTCTGACGGGACAAGGTATGCCAGCCCCTCACCGACATGGGAGCGCCACCTGGCCAGCATGGTTACAGGAGCCTCGGACAACTCCCAGTCAGGCCCTCACAGCACACCTGCCCACATTCACCTGGCAGGTGATGTTTAACAGACACTCCCAAACCAGCTAACTGTGCATGGCACCACAGGCTGACTCAGGTCTTATGACTCCACAGTAATGCTCTGTCCCCTCCACTCCCTCCAAAATGCACCGGGACACTGGCTGTGACACAGATGCCCCTCCTGCTCTTTGCCCTCACCTGAAGACAGCCCGTCACAGAGACCCCACTACAGGCAGGCCAGAGGCCAGTGCAAGGCTGGGGGCCCCAGCACCCATGAGGGCCCCACCGGCCTCTCCCTTGAAGGTAAGTTGCCACACGCCCTGCACCTCCACAGGCATGGCTCCTACTGAGGGGAAGTTTGTCAGCTGCTGAGGGAGCGAAAGCCACATGCTCGGCAGCACTTCCCATGCCCCGAACAGAGGTGAGAAGTCCCAGTCCCGCACTGAGCAGCAAGGGCCCAGGGCTCGCCATCAGACAACAGGTTCTGGTCAGGCCCAGGCACTCCAGATGGGTGAGGCCGCTACCGCCAGCTGAGCTGCTTCACTTGTTCAGCAGCAAACACAACTCACTAGGGCAGCTGAGTGGAGCAAATGAGGTAAGAACGTGCTGTGAGCCAAGACGGCGGCCCAGCCTGCGGGGGTGAGGACCAGGCCGGCCATGGCGGTGCAGTACAGAGCTGGACCACAGCAGAGTCCACCCCACAGGCAGAAGCAAACCCGGCCCCACCGCCCCAGGGGAGGTGGAGGCTAGGGGAAAGGCCGCAGGGGTGGGAATACAGGAGTCGCCCATGTGGGGAACTGTCAGAAGGCGGCATCTGTCAGCTCTCTGGAGGAGCAGCTTATGGGGCAATTTAAAAACCTAGAAGGGTTTTTGTATGAGATAATAAAGAGCTGCCTTCTACAATACTTAACTCATTCACCCAAGTTTAAGAAAAGCACTCAAAACTGCCCCAAATACAGACAAACCATAAGAGAGTCAGTGAACACACAGAGCCATGGGATCTGGGTCCATTGGTCACCAAAGTAAGTGCCTGTGGCTCCACCTCAAGGTACAGGCCCGCCCATCCCACCCCAGGGAAGAACTGGGGGTCCACAAGGGGCAAGAACACGCTACTCAGAAACAAGCTGCTTTGGGGGCCACGTAGGTCAGTTTGAGCTGACGGAAAACACAATCACCCACTGCAGAAGCACCTTTCAGAACTTCCCTCATCTGAATAAAAACCGCTAAGTGCGGCCGCGAGCCCCCACGAGATGTCCCGCAGTGAGGCTCCCACGGCAGACTGGCGCCCCTGCTCCCGGCTGAGCTCAGAGATGCAGGCTGTGGCTGCCTCTGACAGGCCCATCACGCAGGTGTCTGCCACGGGACAGGTGCTGTGGGCGCGAATAAACAGCATTTCCTCTGTGAGCTGTCTTTGGTCACTGTGATTTGCGGCCTCCCCAGAACCCAGAGGGTGGAGGGAAGGTTTTTCCTCCCTGCAGTTTCTAAGCACAAGGAATGACAAAGGCCCAGGCATGGCGTCCCAGCAGAACAGAGAGACCCAAAGCCATGATGTGGACATGCCCCTGAGAAATGCTTGACAGATATCATACCAGGGAAATCATTACAACTTACAACTCTTTGAACAGTTCACGAGCAGTAGAGGGGAACCTGAGCAAATCACAGTAGAAATCTGGAAGCTGCTCAATTATCCTACAGGAAAACAGTGAAGAAAAGTGGGAAAAGGGCACATGTCCACGCAACACACTGACACGGGGCCACAGAAACGTGGGCCAATGCGGCAGGGCAGCTGTCGGGGGCATAAAGAGTGAGGCCTGTGGCAGGGTTAAGCCCACATGAAGAGGCAGCACAGCAGGATCACAAGGAGCCGAGCGCCAACACCTGGAGGCCAGGGCTCCCTCAGGGTCCCTCGAGCAGTTTTTAAAGAGTGTCGTTCACACAGGCAGCATGGAGGCCTCCCCAGCACGTGGTGGTGGGCCTACCTGGGCCTCCGGGACCCACCCCACCTCCCAGGCCAGCCTGCCTCAGCCAGAAAACTCTGCCTAAGAATGTTGGCTGATTTGGGTTAGAGAAACATGTCAAAAGACACCAGGAAAATGCAACCAGCAAACTTCTAAATGGGGGAAGTGCAGTAGGGAAAATGATCTGCTCCCTCATCATAAAAACATTAAAGAAAAGGTCAGGAAAGGGCTGGACTGCACCGCAGCATGCAGCCCTCATTCACACTCTTTTATGTGATGGTGTAAGTTTTAGGTGTGGTCATGGTGTTATGGGTAGTTTTTGTTTTTTAAGAAATATATACTGGAGAATTTTTGAGTGAAAAGCTATTTGCCTTTAAATAACTTCAAAAGGTGTGTGTTGAAGGCAGGTGGTGGACACGTGAGATTTCTTTATACCATTCTATTTTATTACATGGTTAAATTTTTCCACTAATTAAAGAAATCTCTTAAAAATGTGCAGGGTAACTTGGAATTTGCCCTGGCACCTCAGAGCTGGCCTGGCACCAGCACTGTAAGCACCCAACCCCACGGACGGCTTCCTTGCTCTCACCTCTCCTGATGGAGGTGACACTCCTTGTATCCAGGTCCAGCTTCTGCACCAAGGCGCTGGGGTCTATCTTGGTCCTGGCAAAGACGTCTGTCCTCATGAAGGCCCACTCCTGCAAAGGCAAGGGGGACGGGGATGTAAGCCTCACCTCATGGCTCAGGGTGCAGCACAGGCAGGCCACGTGGCATGGAACCCTCAGTGAGGCTGCGGCCAGGCCAGCTGATCACCAGAGGGCCTGGGGAAATGCCCCTTGCTCTGGGAGTGCAGTCAATCACCAGGCAGTCCGCTCCTGGTCTGGGGACCACCTTAGGCCAGATTCAGGGTCAGGAATGCATACAGATGACGACCTCAGCACTCAGGAGCACCTGAGGCAGGATCCGATCTCCTCCTAGGCCTGGAGCCTTCTGATTCACTCCATGGCACTCTCCAGGCTCACAGCTGCTCTCCCATCTCAGCAGTCTCTCCCACGGCTATTTCCACCTATGCTCATCCTTCCAGCTAGATTTCGAAGCCTGCCACACCACTGCCAACCACGCTGTGCTAACCCAGAGCCTGCCTCCCAGACATGTCCGGCTCACTCCACAACAAGGGGCCACAGGAGGCAAGGCAGCCTTGACCCCTAAGAGTCACTGACCCAGACACAGGACTGGGTAGAAACTAGCTCAAGTGCCAAGAAGGAGGGCCCACACCCAAAGCCCCTGATAGAGAAGCCCTCACTTTTGGGGAGCAGCTAGCGCAGGGGAGAGGAAGTCATCAGAGAACTCAGAGACAGCAGTGCTGCTTCGCGGTGCCCAGGAGTAATCAGAGTGAGATGAACACACTTTCTAGAAAGCACTCCCCCAGCCGAACACAACACGGAACAGGAGGCACCTCTGAGCAAACACTGGCTGAACAGTAAGTTTTCAGACCCAGGTGCAACTCCTAGAAAGTGGCGTTCACAGCAGTCCAGGTGCCAGTCTGGAGGCTGTGTGAGGCTCAAGGCTGCACCAGCTCAGGAGTGATCAAACATAACATCAAAGTTGCCAGTCCTTAGCTAAAGGAGGGTCAAAAATGCCCCTGAACTGTGACAGCACCTCTGAGCCAGATATATGCACCCAGACTTCAGCACAACCCTAGCCAGTAAGTGGCCTCTGCTAACCCAGGTAGCCAGGCTAAAAGACAAAACAAGAAAAAGAAGGTGAGTGGGGAGCTCAAAGGCTGGACACTGCTGAAAGTGGAAGAGATTTCAGAGAGTTCATCAGAGCCTGGCAAACAAACCAACTGCCTGGGTGCTGAAATGTCCAGTTTTCAAAACCAACCAGTACAACATATGAAAAATATCAGGGAAGTGTGACCCAGCAACAGAAGCTGCTTTTGAGGGGCCCACATGTTGGGCCCAGTAAAGACTTCAAGGCAGCCATTGTGAATATGGCCACTGAACTAAGAGACCACATCCAAGAACCACAGGAAGGAATGAAGACATCTCATCAGCTATCAGTAAGAGAAAGAAACTGAAAAAAATTAAGTTCTGGAGTCAAGAACAGCAATCAAAATGAAAAATCTCACTGGTTCAAAGGTAGATTTGGGCTGCAGAGGAAAGAATCAGTAAATGTGAAGATGAATAAAAATTATGCCACCTGAAGGAGAGAGAAAAGTCAGGGCCTTGCAGAAAAATAAAGAGACTCAAGACGCCACTAAGCACGCCAACACATGTACACGTGATAGAAGTGCAAGAAGGAGAGAGGCAGAAGTAGTCAAATATTAGCTGAAAACTTGTCAAATTTGATGGAAAACACTAACTACACATCCAAGAAGCTCTATGAACACCAAGTAGGGTAAACAAACTCCAGACAGACTAAACACAAAGAAATCTATAGGGAGATGCATCAAAGTCAACATATTTAAAGGCAATGAGAAAAACTTGAACGCAGTGGAAGAAAAATGACATCCCAAACAAGGGAACTCCAGCGAGACTGCAGGCCAGCTTCAGAAACAGAGAAAACCAGAGGCAGTGGAAGACACACTCAACTAGTCAACCAAAAATCTTACGTCCAGCAAAACTAGCTTTCAGAAATGAAGGCAAAATAAAGACAATCCCAGATAAACCAAAGCTGGGAAATCTGTCACCAGCAGACCTGACTTCCAAGAAATGAAATACTCAGAATTTTTAATGCTGAACCCAAATGTGGTAATTCTAAATGAAACATGGAGCCTGGGAAAGGCAAATATGTAGCTAATTATAAAAGAGTAATTACAACAACTTAAGGTTGGGTGGGAAAATACATAGACACGACCTCCACAACACAAGGAGATGAGTGGGACTGGAGTCACATGGCAGTGAGGAGCTTACCTCTCACCAGAATTTACCAGTTTTACCTCCCATCAGAGTAAATGCTGACGTACACCATAAGCCCTACATCAACTGTTAAAGGTCACCCACTGACAAAGATTCTCTCCATGACCAAACTGCTCAACCTCCTGAGTTTTTCAACCAGACCTCAACTTTTCACACCAAAAGCACAAGCAACAAAAGAAAACAAGATAAACTGGACCGCATCAAAATTAGAAACTTTGTTCTTCCAAGGAAAATATCAAGAGAGTAAAAAGACAACCACAGAACTAGAAACAACATATGTAAACTGTGCATATCTGATAAGGATTTAGTATTGGGTATATATAAAACTCTTGCAACTCAACAACAAATAATTTTAAAATTGGCAAAGGATTTGAAAAGACATTTCTCTGAAGAAGTTATACAAACAGCCAACAAGCTCATGGAAAGATACTCAATATCATTATCCCTTAGGGAAAAGCAAATCAAAGTCAATTTAACAGCCCCTTACATCCACTAGGATGACTGTAATCAAAAAGACAGTAACACATGTTGGTGAGATGTGGCTAAACTGGAACCATCACGTATTGCTGATGGGGAATGTAAAATGGTGCAGTCACGATGGCAATTCATCAAGAAGCTATACATGGGGTTCCACACAACCTAGCAATTCTACTCCACTAAGTACACAGAAAAATTTGTGCACAAATGTTCACAGCAGTATTATTCACAATAGCCAAACATTTTGGAAAAAACCTAACCATCCATCAATGTATGACTGGAAAAACAAAATGTGGTGTGATAGGGTATACCCATATAACAAGTATTTTTCAGTCATAAAAAGAATTTAAACAAAGAAAAATGCTACAAAAATAATGCTACAAGGTTGAACCACAGGATGAACCACAGAAACATCCTAAGTGAATGAACCCAGACACAAAAGGCCACAATACCGTATTATTCCACTTTGACAAAATCTCCAGAACAGGCAGATCTATAGAGACAGAAAGTAGATTTGTAGTTAGCAGACTGACTGTTAAGTATGAAGCTTCTTTTCAGGGTGATGAATGTTGTGAAATTTGTAGTGATGACTGCACAATTCTGTGAATATACTACAATAATACCCGTTGAACTGTACAGTTCAAATGGGTGAGTTTTATGACATGTTAATTGTATCTCGATGGAGTGTTTATAAGCCAGGGCACTGGTGCCAGACCCAGGTCCAAACATCAGCTCCTTCAAGGGCAGCTGAGTGCCCTTGGCAATTTATCTAAACTGAGCTTTTGCACCTGTGAGCCCTGGGGCTGTTAGGAAGATGTCAAGGGCCTGGCTCACAGCAAGTGCTTAATAAATACGGCTGTCCTTGGCACCACTGTTCCAAAGCCATGGTCTCCGGGGACCACCAGCAAGGGCTCCGGGGCCGGCGCCCGATCAAACAAAAGGTCTGTCCACTCGGTAGAATTTTACAGCACCACAGAAAGGAGTGAAGCACTGACACATGATACAAACGGGATGAACCCTGAAAACATGCTAAATCCAGGAAGCCAACCTGTGTGCCTCCATCCGTATGAATGTACAGGACAGACAGAAACCTTAAGGCTGGGTGGGCCGGGGGTGACTGCCACGGGTGCTACGGGGCACGGGGTGTCTTGGTTTCGTCGTCAGCCCCGGGCATCTCCCTTCCTTTCCCGGAATCACCGCTTTGACTCTGGATTCCCGCCATACTCGCGCGCCTCTCCGGCGTTGCGGTGGGAGGTTTCTGTTCTCTCGTGCATAGCTCCCGGCGCGGTGCAAGCCACCCAGTCCCGGGCCCGCGATCGGCGGCAAACACCGCGCAGGCCGAGGCGGCCCGGGGCGCCAAGGACCCTTCTTGGACGGGCGCCTAGCCGCGCGCCGCCGAGACGCAGGGCTAAGCCCGCCCGGACCCCGAGGCTGCCGGCGCGGTGCCCGCCCCGCCTCCCGCAGCTTACCTTTCCCCCGGCTGTGCCGGCCGAGGCCTGCGGAGAGGCCGCCTCTCGGGCCGGGGACGCGGGACGGCGCGCGGCCTCCCCCACGGGCCTCACGGCCGCCTGGTGCACGCGGGCCCGTAGTCCCCTCACTTTACCCATGGCCCCGCCGCACACCCGCGACCGACCGGAAGCCGTGGGCACCGCGGCGGAGCGCGCCGGAAGCTGGCCCGGCGCGCCGGCGCGGGGCGGAAACAGGGGCCGCGGCAGCTGGGGTCCGCGCTGCTCCGGGGCCGACCTCCCGGCGTTTGGTGGAATGACCCACACAGCGCTAGGCGGGGACGAAGCATGTTGAAAATACATAGTGTTTGCTAGAGTCCTTTCTGTTAGAAATGGCATAAAACTAAATGTGATTTATTCCCAGAGGAATTAATGTTTAAACAAAGCCTACATGTCAGAATAATGCCGGGGTGGGGGAGGGGGCGGTTTCTTGTTCGCGGAGTCGAAGAAGGAACTTCGTGAACGGACAAGGCAGGAGATTCACGGAGTTTTTGTTCAGATACAGAGAGAGAGCGCTTTATTCAAGATAAGAGGAAGTACAGAACGCCCCGCAGGTGCTGGGAGGGGCAAGGCTGCCGCTTGGGGTCTGGGTGTCTAGGGTTTTATGCTTGCTGCAGTGGGAGTTCTCTGCAGATCCAGCCAGAATGCTAGTTACATTTTAACCTATGCCTGTGAGGGTTTCCCGGAGACCCTATTGTAAGCTGACGGGCCTACGCGGCTATGGGCAATGGGTCCCGGGGGGGAATAAATTGTTACATCGCCTAAACTTCAAGCACCCAGTTTCCTAAGACCTTGTTCTTTCCCGGGGCCACCCCTGCCCTCACTGGGCTGGAGCTCCTCCCTGCTGCCTCCCCGTCTCAAGAACATGTACCAGGAGTCACGCCGACTGGCAGGGGGGAGGGAGATAAAGTGGGAGCTGTGCATCTCTTTCAAAAGAAAAAAAAAAGAAAGAAAAAAAGTTTTAAACTAGCCAATGAAATTAAGACAGATGTAAAAAAAACCTAATATTGATATAATTTGCTAGGCGACGTCCGGGGAAGACTGTGAACCCTGCGGTACTCAGCCGGCGAGAACCGGGGGTGGGACGCTCGCCAGGGAGTGAGCTGCCCGTCCTACCCGCCCTGAGGGCGCCTGCTCACCGGGCCGACCCTGCACGGCCCACTAAAGGCCCGCGCCGCTGCTCGCTGTGACTAAGTCGGACCAGTGAGTGCGTTTCTTACACTTTCAAAGTGCTGTGGGGGGAGAGAAAATGAGAGACGGGACCCTGGGAGCCTGTACGTGGTGAGGAGCAGTGTCCTGCCTGAATGGGGAGACTGAGGCAGAAGTGGCTGGGTCTGAGGGGGGCCCAACAGCGCTTGACTGAGCTAGTCTGCTTGTTGTAACCATGATTGAACTGTGAACCTTACTCCACTTCTGTGGATAAAATGAGAGTTCCTGTGGCCAGGATTCTTACCTGGCCCTGGTTGACTGGCTCACTGCACACCTGTGGGCAATGCATGACTGTTGACTCCTATATAAAGAGCTCCGCCCAAGCGCTCTGCGCACGATAAGGTGGGACAGCGCAAGGCTGCAGGAGAGCAGAGCAGAGGTGGCAGCGCCAAGGACAGAGGCCCAGAGGACGGCTGTGTGGGACGACTGTGCAGAGAGACCCGGAGGACAGCTGTGCGGACAGAGGGGCCCAGAGGCAGAGACTGGCTTGCTGCATACAGATTCTAGTGACTGACCTGCCATCTGGAAATAAAGTTGGGTATAACCCTTTCACCCCAAGAACGTTTTGCTATCATTTTCTTTGGTCACACGGAATCCGTAGCAAACTTGCCTGGGGCTGAAGCCCACTGGCAAGACAACTTCTATCTTGTTTTTACTCTATTTACTCAGAAGAATCCCTTGGAATTGGATGTAACTCGCCCGTTAAATGGGAAAAAAGAGCTGGAGTAATTGGCCGCCAGTCGCATGCTGGAAGCTCCAAGCCCCTCACCTCGACTGTGGCCTGCTCACTGGCTTGGCCACCCCACATCCAGCCCTGAAGCACGCACTGGGGAACACAAAGTGGGGGTGGTGTAATCTTCACTCTCAAGGAGCCCATTGTGTTGGGGACACAAAGCTGACACAGCTGGAAAAAGTCTGCATCACACAAAATGGCAGCTGCATGGGGGTTCTGGGTTCAGCTGGGTCGGCACCACATCCCCTACCCCCTCCAGGCGGCAGGTCGGGTATGAGGCCTTCAGCCTGCACCTGGTGCATGCTTCAGGTAAAAGCACTCAGCTTTATGTTCCCCAGATGCAGGTGAACATTCAGTTTCATTAACCCAGATCACTACCTGTTAATAAAAACCTATTAGTAAAGGCTGCATACTGTATGAGTCCATCTCTGAGACGTTCTGGAAAAGGTAAGACGATCAGTGCTGCCAGGGGCTAGGGGCGAGAGGGAGCAGGAGGAGAGGAGAGGGCTCTGTGGGGCATGTTGTGGTGGATGACGTCACTATACACTTGTCCAAACCCACAGAATGCAGAGCACCAGGCATGTTGTGGTGGATGATGTCACTATACACTTGTCCAAACCCACAGAATGCAGAGCACAAGTGTAACACACTTGTACTCTCTACGTCTAACCTGATGCAGGCTGTGTCTGTGTGGGTTCACTGTTGTAACAAACAACAAACGTTCCATCTGGTGGCCATGTTGACAGTGGGAGAGGCAACGCGTGTTGGGGAGGCAGAGGGGACACGGGAATCTGTACTTTCTGCTCAATGTTGCTGAGAACCTAAGACGGCTCTAAAAAATAGTCTATTTTTAAAAATTCAGGTGGGAAAAGCAAGTCTTTCTCCCTCCCCTGTCGCCAAACCCTAGTTCCCTCCCCCGACTCAATCATGATTACCACCTTTCTGATGACTTTACAGGAACTCCTATGCAAAAACAGTTTTACTTACGAAAATACATTCTTCATTGATCCTTCTGTCACCCAAGTCAGAGCTGAGCATCCGCCCTGTTCTGCACCCAGCTCCTTCCACATGATGGCAGATCTTAAGGTCTGCCTGTTTGCTTCGGTGGGCAGTCACCTGCCACACGCCTGCTGACGTGCTCTGTGCCCGGGTCACCTGGCCCCAGTTTCCTGCGCTAACACATGCTGGCCTGTGTCTCCTTACACATACGAACAGAAGCTTTCTCAAGAAGGCTTCCAAAAGAGCTCTTAACGTTTGGATCTGTATGAAGAGTTTGAGCCTTCTAGTCTCTCACTGCAATGCCTGAAAACAGGTGGGAGGCTTTCTCCGGCCAGGAGGCCACATGTGGGAGAGCTGATTGAAGGTTTCTGTAGAGACAGCTGCAGCTGCTGTAACAAAGCACAGACTGGTGGCCTCAGTAGCAAGCATTTAGAGCCCACAGTTTTCACAGACTTCTTCTTGTTACAGGGAGAGAGCTAACAAATTTGCCACATTTCCTTAAATAACTTCTGTAGATGTCAAAACTAAAGGAGGTAGGCAGGGGCAACCCCATGATATGTGCCCACCCAGCCTGGTGGTGGGGGACAACCACAAAAACCAGCAGCATTTCCCTTCCAGCCAACACCACCATCCACTGGGGTGCCACTCCCTGCCTCAGCCTCCTAGGTATAAGTTACCAAAGTGCTCTAGCATAAAATCACCCCCGTGTCCTGGTGGCACCCAATCCAGAGTACCCACATGCCTTGGAACCGTCCCACACACAGTTGACACAAGCCTGATTCCAATGATGAGCCCCTCCCCTCCCCTAAGATCCCCAGTGTGTTTCTCCTACTATACTGACCACATAAGGTCAACATGCCCTCTTCAGTGGATTTTGAGCATTTCAGGGACTCTGGCCAGGCTGTGCAAGAGCCCAGCCTCCAGCTCCAAAATGTCGAACAGCAGACGAGGCCATCTGTGGATGACAAAGGCAGAGACATCAGGCCAGGACATATGGGGTGGCTTCACAGCGTGGATCTGCACTGAGGCCAGAGAGAAACATCCTTGGAAGAAATCCCAGAAGCCCATTCTCAGGCTTGGCACCCCGCACTCTGTCCACTGCCTGCCAGACCAGTCTGGTGGAAAGGGAGTCCAGCTTCCATTGGCTACAACCTCATGCCCAGCTGTGAACAAGACTGATGGAATTTCTGGAAGCAGGTTGGCTATCTGGAGTGGGGAGATGGATGTGCCCACCCCTCAGTCATGTCCCCACCCATTTAGTGCCACCCACATCTTCTTTAAGTAGGTGTCATGCAATGTGTGAGAAAGGCCTTCTCTAGCTCTGTACCACTATGTGGGTCCACAGCTGTGCCATGAAATAATGTGAACACAGAGGTCATCACTGCTGGTAAAGTCATGCCAGGCTGAGCTAGCTAACAATAGCATGTGGGTACAGAGATAAACCTCAGCCAGCTTGGAGGAGCACCCCTAGCCAGGTAGGGCAGTAGGGAGCTTCCAGAGCAGCTCTGTGGTAAGGGCTCAGCATCGCTGATCTGGTCTGTAACACACTTGTACTCTCTACGTCTAACCAAAGCCATTTCCTGAGCTGACCAAGGCAGGGAGACCAGCTTGGCTCCTATCCCAGGGGACACTGTCCCCTGCCTGACCCAGCTGGTGATCTTGGCCGCTGGCCCACTCCAGGGACCTACGGGTTGGCTTCAGTTTCAGGTTTTGCACTGTGCCTCTTCTGTGCAGTCCATGCTTCCTCAATAAAAGCAGAAATGTCTAACCACTGCAGAAATGATCTGATGTGAGATTTTGAAAACCCTGGGGCCCCTTCTTTCTCCATGGTCCCACCAACCCCCTTGGGACGTCCCATCCAGAGCTTTCACTGCCCACGCAGCTATCTGGATGTTTCCATCTCTCTGCAGGCTCTCTCCATCTCCTCCTGAGAGTTTAGTAGAAATCTCAAGCTGGAACTCTTGGTTCCGGTCCAGTCTGCCCCCACTGCTTCACAGCAATAATCCCCATCTGAAGATTAGCACTGTCACCCCCACAGTGCCCAAGGCAGACTCCAGGTGCCCCCCTTTGCTAGCTTCCCCTCCTTGTAGTGCCCGACCCAACCGCTTCCTTGTTACCGCCCCAAACCGCCCTCGTGCCTGGCTCCTCACTGTCTCCCTGTGCTGTCCCTCTCGCTCCACCCTCCATCCGAGAAGACCCTCTCCACCTACAGCACCC